ACTCAATGATTATCCTAATTATATTTTAGATTTAAAATGAAATGTTTATCTTGTATTTGATTGTGTTTATCTGCAGTTAGTTACACGAATTCATATATGGGATGGAATCGGATAGGGATGGAATCGTTTAGGGATGAACAGATTTAAGAGTTTTTAAGAGTTTTAGCCAAATGCTTTATAAGATAATATAGATAATATATAAAATTGTATTTGTAGGGAAAAAAGCATTTATTTAATTAAGAGGGGTGGCTCACTTTTCTTTGTAACATTTTTATAGTTGAAAGTCCTCCATATTAAATGAAATTACATACATCTCTTGTTTTCAGATATAAATTTTGAATGATACCAAATTCTCATAAGATACTATTTACTAAAGTAAATCAGAATTATAAAATTATATATAAATACTCTCTCTCTCTTTTTATATCAAAAAAAAAAAAAAAAATACAATATTTGAATCAAAACATAATTAATTAATAAAGCTTTTGGTTGATCATTTAATACTTAATTAGAAAATTAAAGAGCACAATTAAACTTATTCATATCCACTCTAGGTTTCATACATACTAATACTAATACTAATACTAATACTAAATGTGTCTCTTAATTTTTATTTTAGTTTGTCTTAGAATAAGCATATGTTTTCAAACCCACCTTTTTTTTTTTACTTTTCAATTTTGCTCTTAATTATAGGATGAATCAAATTCTAAAAATTATATATTTGTTTCTTAATTGTGAACATTTTTCTTAAAACAAAGAAAATACTCTTACCGATGGACATGAAAAATAGTTCTTATAAGAAAATATTGTATTTTTTTTTAAATATCTCAATATATGAAATGTTTATACGTATTTTTACTTGGATACTTTAAAATTTATTAACATTACAATCGTTTAAGATAAGAATTTAATTAATTATATTAAAATAGGGGCTTCATCAATACTTGTAGATCTCTAAGACTCACTTAACTCACTAATCTAAGATATTAATTCATATTTATTTTAAGAGAAAATTACATTTCAAAAATATATCTCTCCATCCATGCACACATATTCATAATTAAATATCTACATAATAAAAAACAATTTTAAAAAAATTTGTATTAATGTTGATAGATTTAGAGTAATTTTGTTGATGTTTACATAAGATCTCATAAATTTATAATTAGTTCACAAATTATAACAAACTTTTTTTTTAAAATGTTTATGATGTGTTTAGCTTTAGTTGATATTCACAATATGTTCATAACGTATATCAGATGTTATAGATTTAAAATGTGTTCACATATTCTAATAATATATATATATATATATATATATTTAAAACGTTGATAATGTGTTTAACTTGTATGTATATTTAGTTGTATGTGTAGATTTATGTTATTAAGAGAAGATTGGAGAGGTGAGAGAGAAAGTTTTTTATAATTAAAATATATATTTTATTTGTTAAATAAGGTTTTTATAGTCTGAGTTGATTGTAAGGAATTAAAAGAAGGCGAATTAAAATATATTTAAAAAGCAGTTAAATGAAATTAAAAAAAAAAAAAAAAAAAAAGGGTCACTTTCTTGGTAGTCTCCACTCCATATGCTGAGAACCCCTCGTGTGCTCTCTTTATAAACCGTCTTTCCCCCTCCCAAATATGGATCCAATTTGAATTTTTGATGATTGAAATCGTGATTTGATTTAGGGTTTTCAACGCTTTCGCTCATCAAAGGTAAGGTAATTTCCCTAATTATCTCTTAATTTCATCATATCCAGCATTCCAAGTTCTCAATTGCTGTTTGTATTGAATTCAATTCTCTTTGAAAACGTGGATTTCATTATATATAACTAACTAATTCTATTCATTTCTCTCTAATCTATCCTTTGATTCTTCTTCTTCTTCTTTTTTTTAGATTGAGAACTTGTTCTTTGACATTCTTTACTTGCATTTGCTCTTACACATAATCTAACTTTATGGATTTTAATTCCACACTCGATTTTCTGAAATTTTTTAACTGCTATTGCTTAGTTATGCATTTAATGATTCTCTGACCCACTTTTTTTGATTTAAAGTCAACTCTTCTAGTTTGTTCCTTGCGTAATTAATTGTTTACAAGATCTGTTTGATTCATTTTGTAATAATTGCTTGATGCAGTATGTATCTGGAGATTTTTTAGCTCAAATTTCTCGCTCTTCAAGTTTAAGTAAAGGCTATAGCTATTTATCATATATATATATATATATATATATATATATATATATATATTAAATGGATCAACTGATGACCTGGGAGTGCAATATGCTAATTGAATTGTTTTATGTATTTTGCATTCAGGAAATATTGCGAGCTTTTGGGTTTATGAGTAGAGATTTGAAACTCTAGCTTCAGTTTAATGGCCATGAGCCTGGATCTTTGAAACTGGAAATCTAATCATGTTGTTAATTAGGATCACATCTTGATTTTTAATTTAAGGTGTTTGAGTTTGATAAACATACAAGTTTGAGTTTTGATATATATCTATATCTATATGATGGATCCCCCTTCTCCTATAGAGCAACAAGTTTATGTTGATATTGAGAGTGTAGTTAATGAGGGATTAAGCCAGCTTGATCCTCCTCGTTCAGGTGAAAAAACAAAGTTGTGTGACCAATTTAGTATGAGTGTGGATGATGGCCCATTATTACTTGTAAAGGAGGGAAATAGTAGTGTGATGGTGTTGATGGATGGAGGGAAAGAGAAACGTAAAAAGGGTTCAATTAGTGCGAAAAAACCACCCAAACCTCCACGACCACATCCACATAGAGGGTTTTCTCTGGACGCTGCGGACGAGAAGCTGATTAAGGAACTTGCAGAACTTGCCATGATTAAACGGGCAAGAATTGAGCGAATGAAGGCGCTCATGCAAAAGAAAGCTTCAAAGGCCGCTTCATCATCATCGAATGCCACTTTATTTGCCATGCTTTTTACCACCATCTTCTTCATCATCATCCTTTTGCAAGGTAAAAACTATATACTATCATCTTCATTTTATTGTTAATAGTTGTTCTTGAAGATGGATTCATTTGAATGACTTACATGTCTTATTTTCAACATATAATTAAAAGGTATCGATATGATGGATGTCGGTTCTGTGTATTTTATGTGACAATAAACTTGAATAAGACCCAATGGGATGAGCTATAAAGTTAAATTTGAATGTAACCACATACGGCCTACCTGGCCCATGAAAATAGCCTTTAACACCCGCATGAAAAATGAAGTTAGTCTTTCCTGGTCCATTAATTAATTAATTTGGTTACTATTTGTATTTTGTAGGGATGCCTGCCCCCCATATTAATAAGATTTGTATATTTGTAGGGAATTTGAATTTTTGGCATAATTGCATGTGCTTCGCTTCCCACACCAATAAATTATCAACCACCTAAATTCTTCTCACCCAATTAGATTTAGTCTCTCCAAAATAACAATATACATATATATATATATATATATATGTATATGTATATATATACAGGTAGTTTAACCCTTTCTGCCTCTTGCTTCTTTTTATTTATTAAATTTAGGTGAGTAACAACTATCTATGTATATTCCTATTTGTATAAATGTTCATTTATTTTTTTCATGTAAAATGTGCTTTTTAACATTTAAATTACATATTTATTGTTAAAAAGTTGTGCATGAAATCTCAAAAATCATACATGAAGTAATGTTATAATGTTGACAAGTACATTTTACCACATACACATTGAATACTTGTTATCAAACATTTGTTCAATGATCATGGCTTCTAATTTTTTTTTTTCACATTTAAAATTTCCTATTAAGGACAAAACTAATACTCAATCACATTATATTTTGCAGGAATGTCATGCCGAAATTCACATGGAACATTCGAGGGTTCTCCTCAAACAAACGAGAATAGTTTACTATACATACAAGCACAGTTGAATCATTCTACTCATACTTTCGTTTAACTTGATTCAATATATTTGAAGTAAGATAATGATTAATAACAGCTTTAATGAATTCTACGTGTTATTCCCCATAGAAAATTAATGATTCATTTTGCTTCCTATATGCAGACACTTGAAATTTGGGTTCAAAAAGGAATTTGGTTACTAGAAGGAGCCTGCGACAACTACGCTTGGCACTTGTATAGTAAATGATACTTGTTGTGGGAACTTAATTAATATATAGCGATATCATTGAGGTTGCAACCTCTGCAGTCTAATTAATATAAGCTTATATGTATATGATAAATTGTTGTATGCATAGTTTTGTAGCAAATAGTAATAGTAGTGTTGCTTTGAGAGCTTGTAATACGTTTTGTGAAACTCGACAACAAACACAAATTGGTTTTATGTAATCAATAATAATCCTACTTACTATAACTTTTGATTATGTGGAAGAATGTCATATTGTGTGTTAAAAATCCATTATTTGTTATGTTAATAATTTATGATTGTAGTTTGATAAAGTTGTAACTTTTTTAAATGGATTATAATTTAATTAGGTTGATGATTCAAAATTTGAATTAGGAAATGCATGTGAGTGTGAGTGTGAGTGTGAGTGTGAGTGTTTTATATATGGGGATCTCAAAACATTCATTGACTTTTCTTTTTTAATAATTAATTAATCCAAGAAACAATTTGGTGCCTCACCAATTAACCTTCTCATTTTATTCTAATATCTTTTTTAAAAGAAAGTATAATGTATTTTGATTTTAGAAAACTTTATTTGGGAGCTGAGACATTAAGCCTACCATGTATTCGGTAAGAATCAATAGTTCTATATGAAAAACAAAATGCTTAAAAAAATAACGTATTGTTTCATAAATGAAACAACATTGGTATGAAGTGAGGGTAACAAGTACTGTTATTGTTTCCTATATAAACCAATAATTAGTTTGGTTTAATAAAAAGGTTGTTTATATTATAAAGTTAATATCTTATTCCATAAGTGAAACAACACTTAAATGAAACTAAGGTAACAAAGACAATTATTGTTCCATATGAAAACCAATAATTGGTTTGATTTCATACGAGAAACAAAACGGTTACAATGACGATGGTTGGAGAAAAAAGTGATGAAATCAACGATGACAACCGAGGATGAGATCTTAAAGGAAGAGATTATTAATTCCTAAAATATATCTGTTAGATATAATATTATATATATCAGATACTGATTATTCCTAAAAATACGAATTTCTTAAAAAGAAACAAATTAATACGCTTGTTTGTTGAATGGTTTGCAAATTTTAATCACACAAATAATCATATTCCTTTTGTTCTTTTAACAAGTATGTATGTGTTTCAAAACACTTATCTTCAAATTTACACTAGTTAAAAAGTTCATAATTCTATATTTCAAATTATAAGGGACAAATTTAGAAAAACAAATAAATTTTCCTATTTTAAATGATTAGGTTTGAACATAAATTTTAAACAAATAAAATCGATATATACGAGGCGGTGTGTCACTCCCCAAATCCGATACAATTTTTTTTTCCGTATCAACAATTATTATTAAATATTAAGTGGTTATAAAAATATAATCTTTATAAGAAAATATAAAAACATTCGTTGGTTCATTTATGCATTTAAAAAAAGTAGTAAAAATTACAAAGTTTGACTGATTCTATATTGTGTTAAGAGTTGTGATGGTAGATTGTGTTTAAGGGTTACGGGTTGTGAGAGAAGAAGTGTTTGATTTTATAAATGTAAAACCACAACATTTGGTCCTGAAACAGTCACAAAACCAATCAAAATCGCTCCCTATTTATTAAAATAAAACTTTAATTGTCAAATCGATTTTCTCACTGAAAGACAAATAATTAATAGTCAAACCTGGAGGCCGGATCGCCCCCGGAGGAAGATCCTGGGGTAGGTGGGGGAGATTCCCCTATTCAAGACAAATCAGATTTTGTCCCCCAAATCAGATACATGTGGACCCTCAAATCAATTAAAAAACTATTTTTTGTACTTTTTTGGTCAAAGAAGGTTGGATCTCCTCCATGGTCAACATGCCTCCGGAGGCGATCCGTATGGTTATTTTATAAAAATTTGAAAAATAAATATTTTGTTAATATATTAGGTATTTTTTTAGTGAAAATCCCTTTAATATTTGTTACTCCTTAGTTTATTTTCTTTCTTTCAATCTTGGTTTTTTTTTGCATTTAGGAATCTTAGAATACAATTTGCTTAACATCAAACAACTTGACACAACAAATAAGTTTGAGAAAATTAAATTAACTAAGAAAATTAATATATTTATGGCAAATATATAATTTGGGGGAAAATCAATAATGAAATCACATCATTTTAAGACTTAGGGTATGAGTTTCGATCAATAGTAGTAATCAAATCAATAACAAGATAATAACCAAGCGTTCAAGACATACAATCAATACAAATACTCAAATATGACAATTAATAAGAGATTTGGGGTAAATTCATGATTTTTGAGTTACGGTTTTGGGTTCCAAACCTTGGAGGTTGAGACTAAGCGACAAGGAGAGTCAGAGGCTGAGAGGTACCGAGCGACAGTTGAAGAGCGAAAACTTCAAAAGGGCCAAAAAAGCAAGAAGACCTCAGGACCCTCATAGTTAAAAATGAACCATTAATGAGATTAGTGTAAGAGACGGAAAAAAAAAACAATGAATTGCATGGGGACAAAAACCGTAATTTTAAAATCATGGGGATGAAAGTAGCAATGTAGCAAACCACAAGGACGAAAAACATAGTTTACTTAATAAAATAAAATAAAAAAACACTACGTGTCTACGTCTTTCATCAAACCGCACGAAATGGGAGGTTGGTTGTTATATTCGCATATTGTTGAACAAAATAACCTAAAAATTAAGCATTCTATTATCCTCCATATTTATCGATAAAATATTTGTAATTTGTTAACACCTCGATCCTCCTGCCTTCTTTTGTGTGTGTGTGTGTGTGTGTGTATATATACATTCCAATCCAAAATAGAAGTAGCTATCATGGGTTCCCGTGATATTGAGACACCACCGCCACCTGACATGTTTTTTTTCCACATACTACCAAGGCTACCAGGTAAGTCCGTACACGTTTTCTATGTGTTTGCAAGCAATGGCAGTCGTTCCTAACAACACCATTGTTTGCGAAGATGCATCATCACCACCATCACCACCAACTTCTTATTGCGTTGTCCACCACAACACCATGCAAATTTAGTACCATCAACTTGGAAGCACCTCAAGATGGTCAATTTGCCGGTCGTCCTTTACCGTTTGTAACCAGTCATGAAAATGTGTCGATTATAGGGTCTGTACGTGGACTGGTATGTTTAGACATGATTAGCAAGTGCAATGGGAGGAAATACTCTCGTATAATTTTATGGAATCCTCTAACGAGTGAATATAAGACCCAACAACAAAGAAAATTGTGTGGTTGCCGCAACATTATTTGGGTTGTTTTAGAGTTATAATGACTACAAGCTTGTACTTGTAGCCAAAGATTATAATGTTTATATATACTCTGTGAAAGCCGACTTGTGGAGAAAGGTTGAGATGACACCCAATCATTTACCCCCTACCTACAATTATCAAATTATCGCCCGAAGCAACCGTGTGTGTTGTTGAATGAAAAAGAAAAGAAAAGAAAAGAAATTGAGTAAGTAGGAAAGAGGTAGTGTTGTTTCACAAGATATTTATAGCTTTTGGCATTCCATGATGTTGAAGGAGAAACGGTCTCGTCTCGTCTCGTCTCCTTGGACCATGTACCTTCTAAGATGCTTAATAATTAAGGAATGTCCACTAATTTAATCTAAAACAAAATTGGCATGAAAGAAAAACACTTCATTAAAACAAGAAGAAGAAGCAAATAGCATATAACAAATAGTTATAAGAAAAAATATATTAGTAATTTTTGAACTTTTCACAAATCAACCAAAAAGGATGTTTTGAAATGAATAATAAAAGGATGTGAAAAGAAATGCTTGGACAAAACGAGCCATAACAGGTTATTAACGTGGTTATCAGAAAGCCCAAAAGTTTTGGGTCGGACTCGGACTCGGACTCGGACTCGGACTCGGACTTTGCTTTGGAGAAGAAACCATGCCATTGCCAATTACCAACTGAACTGAACTGAACTGAAATGAAAGTGAACCGAATATATTTTATTTATTAAAAAATAATAATAATAATAATAATAAAATGTTGGTAATTGAATTAAAGAATATGATTGAATAGTTAAGTTGTTGGACTTGGTTGATTGAATAAATTTGATTTTATGGCAACTGGATCCTCAAATTTGTGAAACAGATAAAGAGTAATCATAATCCCCCTTCTTCAGATCCAATTTCTGTGTGTCGGTGGGATATTCTTTCACTTGTTTACACCACTCATTAACCCAAACTCTTAAATCCAACTCCAACTACGACGATTTCCCCCAAAACTATGGTGATCAGTGGTCCTTTAACGCCTGCCCAGGTTGGTGCCTTTGCATCTGCATCTGCATTTCCATTTCCTATCCTATCAGATCTTGTTGCTTTTAGATGATTTCAGTAGCTTAGATAGATCTGCATTTGCCTCATCATTTCTCACCTTGCTCCTTTTACCGATTGTGTTTTTTAGTAACTAGAACCCCAAGTTTGCATTCCATGCGATGCCGTACCTGTGCCTCTGCCTCGACTTTATGCTTTAATTTGTTTCATGTTTTTGTTCAAGAATGCTGTCATCAATTAAGTAATGTCTGGAGTTCACGAATTTCCTACTTTCTAGTTTGCTACACACCCAATACTTCATCAAGTGTTCTTTACACCTATATACACTTGTTTGATGTGTGATTCATAATCCGCTCCTTCCAAACATCCATACGTTTTTAATCGATATCATATAAACTCAATGTTTCAACCCTGGCGGTTGGAAGCTATTGCTAAGTTGATGGAACGTGGATCTAGGCTTTATAACGTTGATGATATTAAACATGTCAGCGCTGAACAAGGGGCAGATAAATTTAAACTTTGATTAATGATGCTATTTGTATGAACTCATGTTCTTTGACCTTGAGGTAAGGAAAGTAATGAGGGTCTTACCAGTTCTCGAGAATGACTGTGTTCTCAGGTGCAAGTGTTAATTTTAAATTGATTTGCTTGAGAAGCTGCCCATTTATAATAGAATCATATAAGTTTTGTTAGTTGACTTCATTTGAGTTGACCTTTTTTCCAATCCGACCAATTGACCACTACTGTTATTGTGAATATAGAACGACTCATTGGGCAACCTTTTTGAAATTCATTAGAAGCACCTGAGTTGATATACCCCAATCCTCCTTGGTATACATGCATCATTAAGTGACTCTGTGGTGATGCCATCCTTTCTTGAATATTCATGTTTGATGTTTCCCTGTTCTGGTTTTGCAATTGCAGGTATCCTTTTTACTTGGAATCATCCCAGTTTGTGTAGCTTGGTTATATTCAGAGTTCTTGGAATACAAGAAAACTGCAGCATCCTTGAAAACGTGAGTTAAAAAATTTAATCCCCAATTGTTTTCAGTTGCCAGTTTTATGTAACATAAAGTCCGTTGATAGTATAACTAGTTGTTTTCTATTCATGACAAATATCCCATGCATTTGACACACTAGCAATGCTGTTGTGCTGTTGTTGTATCATCAAGTCTTTTTATGCTGGATTCTAAAAAGAATTGAATGTGATGATAATCTTGGTGTCTTAGGAATATTTAGAATTGGATGGTGTTACCTTTTCGAATTACAAGTTTATTTTAACTTGCTTATTTGAACGCTGGTAGTTTTTGTCATTTAATAACTAATTTCAGTGGCAGAGATTCTGATATCAACTTGGTTGAGTTGGGCAATGATACGGTGAAAGAAGCAAGTTTATTTTAACTTGCTTATTTGAACGCTGGTAGTTTTTGTCATTTAATAACTAATTTCAGTGGCAGAGATTCTGATATCAACTTGGTTGAGTTGGGCAATGATACGGTGAAAGAAGATGATAGAGCTGTTTTACTGGAGGGGGGTGGTCTCCAGTCGGCTTCTCCTAGAAGCCATGGTTCATTTATTGCATCTCCTGTTGTCAGGTTTTCAGGCGCTCCAGTTGTTTTTTCCTTGAATTTTAAATTGATTATGGTAGCAGACTCATGCAATCTTCTTTTTTTCCTTCTAGGCTGTTTACAATGGAGGAATCCTTCTTGCTTGAGAATCGTTTGACATTGAGAGCTATGTATGTGATTTTAGCCTTAAGTTTCAAATTTCAATTTTCTTGGCACCAATAAAAAGTCATCAATTTCTGATATTCTTTCGGTTCTCTTTCTCTTTCTTCAGATCAGAGTTTGGGATCATATTGTTCTACTTCTACTTATGTGACCGCACAAATTTTTTCGGCGATTCCAAGAAGGTCTTAGCTTCTCTGTTATTCTTTTTATGTTGAAGTATATAATATTTATACATGACAAATGAAACTCACACACACTCCTCACCTTTGGTGAGGTTGGAACCCTAGCCTCTAGGAAGGTTGGGTTACTGGATACCACTAGGCCAATGGGCAACAAGAACAACAAGATACTTAGCGATACTTCCTTATTTTGAGCGGTTTGTAGCTCCAACCTTATCTTATCCCCTTGGGCAAAAACAATGACTCAACTTCTCTCAAACCAGTTGGGTAGGCTAAAAATGGAACACAGTAGAACTAATAGAGGTGCACTCTCCTAGGGCTGCAGGGCATAGGTAACCTCCCTTGACATACTTTTATCTAGGGTCAACCCCTTTGGCATAATCCATGTTCCCACTCCCTGAAATCTCCTTCCAATACATACTTTCGTTTAGTCTTGGCCAGCCGTTCCAAACAACCTCCTTTGGGTACAAGTTTCTGTGTCCAACTGTCATGTCCAACCGTCAACACTGGAGATGGCCAGACAATCTCTCAAGCAATGTTGCCTCTACTTCTCAGCTGTTGTCTGTCCTATCTTCAAACCCTTGGGCACATCCTCTATTGATTGTTTGTTGAGTATAATAAAAAGAAGTAACATAGTTTTTATTGGATTGTTTACCACTTCAAAAAATCTATTAGTAACTTGCATAGCTGCAACCAAAATAGCAATCTTTTATATGAGGCGGGG